AACGCATTAGTAATCTTACAGATCAATCCTCGACTTTGCTTCCAAGACTTTTACTCAATAAGAAATACAACAGTGAGCAAACAGGACAACATCATCCATCCATCTACACTGGAAAAAACAATTTTGGGTGAAATTTACTTGAAAATAAGCTTGGAAACAATTTCCACACAGAAATTCTAAGTAAATTTTACATGGGATAATCCCAAGTAAACTGTACTTAAAGACAGTAGTTTCTACAGACGTACTCAAGTAAACTTTACTTGAATTTTTGCTGGTACTAAATCTTACTCAGTAATTTTTATTTGGACTGCATTTGCGTAAACGCTTGCTTTTGTTTACTTTCAGTTACATTTATGTAAGTAATGTTCACTTAAAATTGAGTTATTTATTATAAAAATAAGCCTTTTTTTTAAAAAATACACCAACCTAAAGGGACTTCAACATTTTTATCATGTGCTATAAGCTTCCAAGTAACACCTTAATTCACAACATACACAGGCTGGCGCATTAGACAACACCTAAAATCCTGCCGATTTGACTGTTATGCCTTTTAATGGTTTTATGGTTCTTACAAGCCCCATAATTATGGTTCACTATGAACCTTCTACCTATAGGCCAGAAGGTGCATATCATCCATGTGTCCAATGTATTACAGCTAGAGGCTGTGGCAAAATCCAGCAAAATGCCGTACAGTGACCTGTAACGCCGTCCACAGGGGAGGAGTTCAAACAGAGTGTGTCCCGGGTGTGAGAGGTCTGCAGTGATCCTCTCCGCCCTCCTTGTGACCCGTGAGGTGTACAGGTCTTCCATAGAGGGCAGGCTTGCACCATTGACTTTTTCTGCAGTCCTCACTGTCCGCTGGAGTCCACTTAACATTTTAAGAGAACTTAAACTTCAGTACATCTTCAGTACAGTGTATGAAAACATTTTATTGCCTTAAAGTGAAATGCTTTGAAAGAGACTTGGGTGTAAATCACTCACATCACTTTTTTTTGTTTTAAACCCTAAGTAAACTCAGGAATGTATGCTCATGCTAGAAGTTTTTTCTGTAAAGACTGGACTTTTGGGAGACATCAAGCTAAAAAAAGAGCTTCTGAAACACTTCAAATGTGTATTTCAGTTTTGGTGGGTAGATTAGGTTCATAGCATAGACAAAGGCCATGAACAGAAGACAAGCCTTTGCCACATATCTGCAGTTATCAAAAGCTGTAGTTCCCTTGATGATCAACACATCAGCAGGGGTGGGGCCTTCAGTTGCAGCACTTCCATGGAGGACAAAGATCTTCACAACACGCTTGGCATAGCCCTCCATGTTTTGGTGCCTTCCTGTCAAAACATGAGTATCTGTGCTCAGATGCAAATACTGTACATATTGTTTTCAAACTTGAAGATTATGCAATAGAAGTCTTGATTAAACTGGCCATTTAATAATATACACATACAATGATGGAATAGAAATACAAAACTAGAAACCAAACATTGAGTCAATGTGCACTAAGTAGTCACTCCTCCATCAAGCAAGATTTTAAGCATGAAGGTACTGAAAGAAAGAAGTGAAACAGCTGAGTATTTTGCATTCATTACAATAATGTGCAGTGTCTAATTATTCACCCCCAATGGTGAATCCTTTTCATAGACGCAGTTTGGGTTTTACAGGCTCAAATTCATCAGCATAAAATGATATTTCAGTCAAACAACAGGGACAGCAGAAATAAATGACAAAAATGAATAAATGAAATGGTAAAATATTTACTGTTTAAATATTAAAACCAAAGTTGAATATTGAATCAATCATCAGAAAGCAAATGTCATATCACATTAAATTCGAGGTGACATTCTGAATGAAATTTACACACAAGAATTTCTTGTAAAATTTAAACATGTTGTTGGGCTAATATTTACAGGGTAAAAACATCTTTTTTCCCCTCAGTGTAGTTAAACTCAAGAGTGCTTCCCCTTGTTGCTAACATTACTTCATCTTCCAAGTGTTTCCAAATCCAAGCTGCTACTTCACCGTGAAAACGCAACATTCACCTTCTAGAGCCAGTGTGTGGTTTGTCTGTTCTGGGCTACTGTAAACATGGTGGCTCAACATAGTGACCTCTGTGATACCGGACCTGTTCCTTTGTAAATATAAAAGGCTCATTATAAACTAAAGAAACAACCATTTTTTTTCTGGTGATTACACTAATGAAAACAATTAGGCATACTATATCCCATTTCTGCTGATAAATCCTAAATCTTACACACTGCATCTTTAAGTCTGATTTGAACAGACAACTCAAGTAGTGATAAAGTGATGGGTAATGTTACTTGAACCACCTGCAACAAGCTCTTGTTGTGGAACCTACATGTAAAGTTGTGTTAGTGCTGTTTAAACCCTGTAGCTTTCTAACTCTTAAAAATTCAAAAGAGGCTTGAGAAGACAGCTGTTTGCAAGGTCTGACATCATATTCTGTTTCTGTATACAAATGTGTTTACTAGAGAACTAGTTCAGCTTTGACGGTCGCACCAAATGGTGTATCGATCCATTTATTATCTTGCCCTTGCAACTTTTCTTTTCCATTTCCATCATCTTTTTCCTAGCAGAGTGCCATAAATTAGTATCATCCTACCATTAGTTATCTTTTTTTTCTGTTTAGGATTCAGGCTGACATTAATGCATTATGCTCCATTTTTTACACACTTTTTCTCCTATGTGTTGGGTGTCGGGCAAGGAAGGACCCAAAATGCAGACACAGTCTAGAGTCTATTCAGTTTAGTATAAATGAAGAGGAGCAAAGGGGTAAACAGATGCTCAACCTGACAGGACGTCACAGGTACAAAACTAATATCTAAACAAAACAGTCAGAGAGCTACATGAAACAAACTAAACAACTAAAACAGACCCCGAGTAGTGATGGCCCTCTAACACCCAAGGCTCCAACACATGCGTGGTGGCTCATAAAGCAATTGTTCCGAACCACTGTGCCGAGGTGTGTTTCGGTCATGTGACTAGTGACGTTTTAATCTCTTGAGTGACGTCCGAAGCAGTTGGGTTCGTCGGACGTCAGGTGAATCAGCTGATTGGTTCGGTTTGTCATGTCATGACATCTGTCTGAATTTGTAGAGCACATCTCATGAATGTAGCAGCACCATTTAATGTCTTCTTAACACAAAATATACGTGAGGAGTATATAGGGTTACACTCAGACGTGCCACATAAGAAACATAGTCTTCAACATGTGTCCATGTTTATTTTATATTTTATTGTGTCAGCCTGAAACCATACAACCGTGTAGTGTACTTGAACAGGAATGTGCATGACGAATCAAATCCCAAACAATCCATGAACCAATAAGCGACATGTCTTGACTGCACTTCAATTTCTTGACCACTAGATGTCCTACTCGAGCACTGTGTCATTGAAGCCTCGAGTGATGAACCATTTGTATGAACACTGTGTCGAAGCTTCAACAAACCCTCATTGGCCATCACTAACCACGAGAACTAACCAAGAATCTTGCTGACAGGAAAAACTCAAAAGAACAGTCTAATAGCAACCAAGGAAAATGATATAAAAATGTACAAAGCAGACAAGCAGGGTGTGGACAGGCAGGGAGATGGATGATGGAGCAACAAAGCATGGAGAACAGATGAGCCAGCA